AGGAAGTAAGGTGAAAGGAAGATTGGGTCGCTAAATATTGTGAACTCTACTCTGCGGAATATTTGCTTATGCTGTTGATCTTGGTGAGCTGTTTGAAAGTTAGATGGGAAAAGTGAGGATAAATTTCTTCAAGGGCATAGGTTTAAGGAGTTGCCATATCCGTGTCAGGGTAGTGTGGTGTAAGATGGGTATGTGCATGGTTGATGATTGTTTTCTTTTTGTACTGTAGCAAGTTTGTATATGTAATTCACGTGATGTTTATTTCCACAGTGATTGTTGGGTGAAAGTTGCCAATGAGGTATACAATATGCATTCCTTACAGAGGAGATGAGAGATACTGTTTTCGCTGTGTTCTGGATGATGGCTGGTGTGGTGGAAGCCGAGTGCCCTAGTCAATGGCATTCTTGTGTTTGGTACTTTGGTAGATGTTAAGGGTATGGCCGTTACGGTATCCAAGGAGTTGATGCTGATCCAATTTGAAGAAAGATGATTATAGACCTTGCAGTAGAAATTGATGAGAAAGCCCTAGCTTTCACTCCAGATACATCTGGAGTGTTAATTACCTAAACAAAATAATTAACTCGTGGTAGCTCGTGCAGGCATGTCATCCTTGTGTGTGTATCTGTGCCCATTTTTTAAATTAATTGTTGTCTGCTCAGAATGACTTTTCTGGATGAAGAGATCTATATGCTGGCCTAGACCTTGTAGAAACTTCCGTTGGACTGGGATGCCATTCTGGGTTGAGATGGTAGGCAAGTCTGATGCTTTGAAACAAACCTTTTCCAGTATCTATTTCGGTACCATGCATCGGAGGGCTGGTGTTAACGTTGGCATAGTGAGTTTATTTCCAATAAAGGAAACTAATATACTTAAAGATCCTGCCTATTGTAGCGAAACAAACATCTCAAGTATCAAAATAAATCATGTTTATAAACAACATATAGGTACCTAATTTGTCAGTAACGTTTGCATTCATTTCTGCCTTTTGAACTAAAGCAGATACATAAATGTAATATTTATGACACCTATAGGATATTTCAGGTTGGTTTGTATTTTTTCTGTTTATTTCTACTAATACCACTAGAAAGTTGACATTAAGAACAATTCTAAGCTGCTTAATATTACTGAAAGAATACTTAGATCAGTACACTTGGAGTCAACAAAGGCATCTTCTGATAGACTTGTTATGCGAAAGTGACATGTTTTCATGAATTTTATTGCTTTCCTGTTATATGGAGGAAGCATGGCAGTATTTCTTCTTGCACCCCCAAGTATCTGATGCTACTGTAATGATAGAAAGCACATTTTTTTCCACTAGTGATACAGTTCAGTGTATTTAAAATATAAAGGTCAATTAAAACTACCCAATATCTAGCCAGACATTTTGAAAAAATGCTGCTTATAAACCAAAATACATTTGTGTATGTAACATGTCATATACATGTATGAAAATGAAAATTACAAAGATCAAATTTTATTCAGATGTTTCTCATGCATCTCACATATGTTAAAGAAATATTTTGTAACAGGCTGACATTCCAGTGTATTTTCAAATCTCCTTTCTTTCATATAATGTTATGTCATGAAGAAAAGAAGAGGATTTCGGGGGAAAGGCTTTTGCTTGACTGATTTTTGTTTTGTTTTGCCATACAATATTGGCCAGTATATTTAAAAATGTGTGCCAGTTGATAAAAAGATTGTATGTTTCAGTGTTATGTGCTCCAGTTTTCTAAAATGAAAAAAAACCCCAAACAAACCATACTAAATACTATACTAATTCAAAGAGGTCATAAAATGCATGAAGCGAAGTGGAACACCCATTTGTCATCAAGAAAATTAGATTTCTTCTTCACCTGGCAAAACTGCTGAACAGCTGGCTGGTCAAAATATCCCTCTGCACCTTTTGACTTCATGTCTCATGTCTATCGCTTTCTCAATAATTGTTGGCTTATAATGGCTTGTTGAGTCTCTTAAGCCTTGTTCTCTTTCTTGACAGATCAGTGATTTCTTCCCACTGCGTCAAGACCTAAAGATTTCTGTGCATTTTTACTGATTCAGACTACATTAATTTTGTGAATGTCTATAAATTTTCTGGAATGCTGTTCATTCCCAGAAAGTCTACAATAAGTTAAATGAGTGAATCTCCCTTAAAAATAAACTGAAATTTTCTTCTTCAGCAATAACTCAAGCTGTGACAGTTTCTTGTAAGAACTCCTTGCATAACATCTACCCAGCAGAAAGCAGTAATACTCTTTGTGTGTAGATACTCACCTCCTTTTATGGTTGTTGAAATTTTTTGGGGGGGAGAAAAAAAGCATAATTCTGTACATTGTCCAAAAGTGTTTGATTATCTTATCCCATTATATTAGTCTTTTCCATTATTTGCTTGATTTGAAGATATTGTCAGAAAGGAAATTTTTTTTTCTTCAGTCGTTTCAAAATGCACACATCTAATTTGTTGTCTTTCTGGAACATCCCTTAAAGAGACATTGGAAGCAAAATTACCCCTTCTCCCTAAAAACTTTGCAGTCTTTATTCTGGTTTAGTGTTTCTCTTTATTTCTGTTCTCTAGTATCATGTTACACCCTTATCCTTCATGAAGGTTCACTAGCTAAAAGTTACTGGATGTTCAGAAGTTCAAATAGGAAAGTCGTTTATAGAGAAAGGTGGCTTTCTTTTTTGATTTTGTAGTAGAGAGAAGTAGAGTGAGAAGCGCCATGCAGACACTGAAATAATATTAATTCTGGTCATAGTTTAGACAATATTTATTCTTTCTTAGTTCCAAAGTTTGTTTGCTGGACTTATGCCGTTGTAGTGTAATACCATGAAAATTAATGCGTTGACACTGTTGGGACTGTTTTCAATAAATTGTAATATATGCATGACCAGTAATTGTGGTCATGCAGGAAAATTAAGAGCATTAGAGGTGAGGTCAATAAAAACAGCTGTATCTGTTGCCGTGCAGGTGGGTAGGCCAGATTCAGGAAAGCTACCGTGCTAGGTATGCACTTGGTCAGTATCTAACCATGAGACAAAAGGCAAACCAGGACACATTTTCTAAATCTTTCTAACAGTTTGTTTGCTGGACTTGCTAGCTTTTGTATATTTTAAAAGAATTACAAATATTTAAAAATTATTAGCAAAACTATGTAGAATTCACAATAGTTTTAGCTAAAAGAGAGAGGAATTAGACAATACAAAACAATCTCAGAATTAATAAATTGTTCATAGCAATATGTTTCACTTAAAAATAAATGTACATTTTTGAAACTAAGAACTAAGTAATGCCAAACTGAAGCATTTCATCCTGAGTCAAACAAAATATGCATTGGAATCTAACTTTGGCTCACACCTGACTGGTAATAAAAATTAATTTAATTCTCCCAGTAGATTCATCAGTTACAAAGCAGCTTGCAAAGTATGCGAATATAGTGATTGTAAATCAAAATATTTCACATATTGAACAGCTTTATTTCTTAAAAAATCTAGTAGTATATATTGTCCGATGGGGGTGACTAGGAAATGAATAATGAGCAAGTTTGTAAACAAAGAGCAGTGATAATGTTGACTGAATTCTCTTGTCAATTATACTAAAGTAGCTCTGCTAAAAGAATAGCTTTTTCCACATTTACACTAGTTAAGCTAAGAGCAAAATTTGACCTTGGTTCTGAAGGGGGAATACAGCTGAAGAAAAATAATGAGTTTTCCCACTTATGCAAGCAAAATAAATGGTTACTTCTGTCTGATACCATTTATTTATTACTTGTAGTTCTCTGTCAGCACTATTACAGAGACATAAAGCCCTGTTAACAGAAATCTTTTCTTTTTCATATAGATGATGACACATTTTCCAATGTGTTTTGTGAAAACTCTAAGAAGCTTATCAATGTACATTTATTTGCCCTGGCTGCTAAGTATTATTCTTTCTCTAACCTTGGAGTGTGCACCCCATTAGAAGACGTACTTGAAGCACTGAGAGGAGACAATCAAGGAAAAACAGGTATATTTACATTTGTATTTAAATTTTTATTTTTCACTGTAGGACCTGCATAGTTTTGGTTTTGGAGGGTGGCTTGTTTTTTTTTTTTTCCCCTACATGCTTCTCACTTCAATTTTCATTTGTTCCTAGATAGCTTCTCCATTGTCTTTGTTAAGAGAATGGATTCTCTTCCTAAAATCTGAGCAGAGGGGTCACAGCATTCAGTACCTATAGACCCTTCCTGAGATTCAGTTTTAAAGGGCGTGAGATAGGCCAGCAGGCACATTATTATTTGAGTTGTCTTGTTAATTCTCTTTGTTTCTCTTCTCCCTGAGTGGCAGGAATCATGGTTGCTATTCTTGCTTTTTTTTAAAAGTCTCACCCTAAAATCTGGCAAGTGAGTTCCTTTCTTACATCTTTTGTTTAATATTAAGTATGTGCTTTGGCGTTTAGCTGAATATGGCCCAATAAGTGGTTGATGTCTCAAAAAAAAAGATTCATTCTGTATGTTTTGGACCAATACCAAATATATGTCATAAAACTAGAATAATTTCATTTTCTGTAGTTAAATAAATTGGATTAAATCACTCTCAAGTTGGCATCAAGTTGGACACTGGAAGACTTGCCCCTGATTATACTTTTTGTATCAGATGATAAACTGGTATTTATACTTACTTTGGCTGCTGTCATTTTCACTGAAAATGTGCTCTTCATCAAGTCCTCAGTCATTATAGATTTGTCACTGTCTTTCAGATTTCTCATTAGTTTTTCAGAAACAGACTGAGCAGCTCTCCGCCTTTGCTTTCTAGTGTGTTTTATCTCTATAATATGTTAAAACTCTGACATTTCTTATCCTAAATGATAACACCATTATATATGTTGGGCATCTCTCCCATTTTCTACAGCTATCTTCTCTTTCCAATTTTGCCATTTTCCATGGTTGACTCCCCAGTTTTCCATTTTTTCAGAATTACTAAAATGCCATAGCTAAGATAGTCTTAATGGTTTGTTGTGCATTGGTCTTACTGTAAGTTTACTTTCTGGCTGCTTTCCTTCTGCTGCTAGTTCATCTGAAGCCCTTTTTTCTTGTTTGACAACTGTATGCTGCTTTTCTTTCACTTGCTTTTTAGCTCTTTTCATCTTTATTATGCTCTCATTCCCTGCTTAAATTTCTGTAATTCTGTAGTTCTACCTTGTTATACTCATATTTGAGTTCATACCTGCATGAGCTTTCTTAGACAAAAATGCAAGGATTCTTTCATCTTTTTGTCATGCAGAATGGAACATCAGGAATAAGACAATTGCTGAATATTTTATTCTGTGTCTTGCAGGAGTGCTGCTCGATTGGGTAACTGGGGCCTGGGTTTGTGATGCAGTAATTCTAAATTGTACTTCATAGAAAAAATAAAATGTGTTCCAAATGTATACAATGGTATTATAATTCAAAACCTTTGTGTTGAATTGGCAGTAAGTATCAGTTAAATTAACTTAATTGAAGTTCCTGGTAATCATTTGGCAGAAGCAAAATACCAAATTATGGATTCATAACATGCAAGTTGCCAAATGAAAGTTGTGATCTTTTTACTTTAAGCTATTTTAGATATTTTGGACTTAATTCTGTGTTTCAGAAAATATATTAATTTCCTGACATACTAAAGCTTGCAAGTCAAGAGAAGTGTAAGTCTGAGAAAATTGGCAACTTTACAATGGCCTTGCTCATATTCTGAAAAGTATGCATCAGGATAATTCCATTTATGTTTCAGATGTTTTTAATACATTTTCTTGTTCTGAGACAAACATGCTTATGATCCTATTCCCACAGTTCGCATATTTGCGTAGTTCTCTTAACTTCTTCACCATCTTAATGTAGACATACTGCTGTCCTTCCTTGGGACAATTGGTAAGCATAAACATTTTAGGTGTATTGTGGACACAGCTACTCAGAGTGGAGTTATGAGTCTAAAGGGCTTTCTCCATTGCTTCCTAACGAAGGTCACTGTGGTCCCTTCTGCACCATCAGGTTGCTTGCACTGAACACACGGGTCCAGAAGAGCTTGGCCAAGGGGAGCAAGCCAGCAGGGAGAATTTCTCTTGTTGCAAGGTTCATATCTGATACAAGAAGCGAGGGTTGCCAGAGTATTGGATTAAGAGCACTCTCTACCTTTGCAATGTGTTTATGGCCAAGGTTGTTGTCATGCAGTGACTGTTTACGAATCTGTCTTTAAATTCCATGTACTGTAATATCACTCTGCCTCAATGTTTTTTTAGTATATGGTTATCTCAGTCCCTCACTCTGGCTTATGGAATTAAATCATAGTAGTGTAGCTTCTGTATAGGTGGTGTTGTCTGGTGTGGACCGTGAATTTCTTTTTTTTTACTGGTATATCTGAATTTCCACAGGCAGCTGGGGTATAAAAGCCCTGCACCCTGCCATAGGAGATCTTAGGAAGATCTGCATTAGCCCTGTATAAAAAACCATCTTTCCTCAATTTGTTCAGCTTCACAACTAAAGATGTGGCTGCAATGGCGTTACAGGGTTGAAGCAGTTTTTCAAATGGACAACAGCTACCTGTGCTAGGAGTTCACAATGGAAATAAGCAACATTTTAGTACCAGCTAAAACTAGTAACATTAAGCTTTCTGTTACTCCATTACATCCAGACTACATCTGCCAAGTATTCGAACCCTACTTTCTTTTTTCATCACAAAAGGAGATGGATCTCTAAATTTCTTATGTTTTTTTTAAATTAGTATTTGTTCTGTTTGCATCAGTTGTACACATAATAAGAAAATCTACATGTATAATTATTTGTCTGAAAAAAGTAATTTTGTGATAGCAGAATGAATTTACACAGTTTGTTTAAAACTAGTGTACATATTTTTTTCAAATTTGCAGTTGTCTTGGCAATATAAGGCAGTCCCCAAATACAGTTTTTCTATTAGATTGTAATATGTCTGCTTGTTTTTCAAAATGGTGTAAAAAAATCTATCAGAATTTTGCAGAATATGCAGCTTTATAAAAAATCCATAATTTTCTGCAAACAATATCATTTTCCCTGAGCTGAAATATAAACAGAGTGTTCATTCTGCAAAAAGTAGGAAAAGAAGTCTAAAAATGGTTAAGAAACGTTAGTAGCTAAGGTGATAAATGCTTTATATATGTAGGTATAAGCAAACTATGATTTTTCTAGCTGGAACCTCAGCTTTTGTAAGTTGGGTCTGGTTTCTGGATTTCTGGATTTCTTCCATGTTTGAAATACTTAATTTGGTTTAAGTACTCTCTGAAATGGTACTTCACAGTCTCCTGAATTCATACTATAGCAAAGAGTAAAAGGTGCAATATGTGGTGATAGTTCAAAGTGACACTGCTGCTTTGGAGAACAGTCAAGCAACTTTTATTTCTGTCAAGAAGTTAAATGTCTGTTTCTTTCTGTTCCCATTCTGCTTCTTTACCTGATGAGCCTATCCAGACACAAAAATGTTCAAATATAAACCAAAAAAGAGACCTTTATTCTTTTTTGTTATTTTTTTTCTGTCTTTTTTTCTTTCATTTGAAATGCTTACAAATTAAGAGTTTTTTAGGACACCGTGTAGATCTTCACAGTTTCAAAGTTAAGGAGAATCTTTAGTGAAATGACAAACACTTGTTTCTGCTATTTGTTTTGTTTAAAAGTATTTTAGTCCATTTTTTTCTTTTGTCAGTTCATAGAGTCTATATTAGATTTTAAGTATTGTCATAACAGTTTATTATAAAAAACCCAGATGTTTAAGAAATAGAGAGATCCTGTGGGTTTTGGGAAAAATAGAAAAAACACTAGGTTTCTCATGAGCTCAGTTCAATTCCCCACTCTCTTTTAAAGGAGTAACACTCTTGGCTCTGTTCCCAGCATGATCTGATCAAGGAATGAACATAGTTTTTTGCCTAATGATCAGTTTCTGGAGAGATGAACGCATACTGTGCAAAAAGCAGAGAATGGGAAAGTTAATCTGCCTAGTCATGTAGAAAAGTCTTGTTTTCTAGGAGCGTGCTCATCAGTAACGGTCCAATTTCTTCTACCATCGCTCAGACTTGCAAAAATTTCCATCAATTTAACTAGAGCCAAGTGTACTGTAGTGTCGGTTGCCTAAGAGAAATGTTTGGGTTTTTCCCAAGGGAGCGACTTCTGAGCTCCTCCTTTGGTTGGGGGATGTAGAGATTAGCAAGTGGGTGCTTGGTATTCTCCACAAGCAGTAAACCTGTGGTAGAGATTGTCTCCATCTCATTAACATATTCTCCGGCAACACTAAAATGAGTGATTTTCTACCATAAACATGTAACGGTTCCATAACCCATCCATAGGGTAAATAAAGAAAATAAAAGTGCATCTTCCTTTGAATTTCCCCAGCGTTGCTCATAACTTTTATTTGGATATCTCCCACTTGATATTGTGAGCAAATCTGCGGAACTAACAAGCTGTACTGTGTGATTATTAATTGTCCCTGCCCTTATATTTCATATATGTAAACGTGATAAACGACACAAAAATAAGTATTTTTTAATGAACAGGAAGAAATAGTACAGTTTTATAGTAGTAGCTATTGTCTAATATCTGGTCAGGTATTAGATATGCTACATCTTAAAAAACTACACTAACAGTACTAAGTTTTACAGTGTGTTGAATTTTACTAATTCATCTGTAATTCCGAAGTTTAGTCTTGTAATAATATAGTGAGTTTTTAATTAAGAATTACGATCCTTAAAATATAAAAATATTATAGCATATTTTTAGGCTGGTATTTTTTCTGATTAGTCACAAATATTTATCATTATGGGTTGTGTTAATGTGTATTTATTTTCTTAATCTGATACAGGTATCAAAACTGATGAGTTTATGAATAATAAGAAATCACATGAAGTGCAGGTGATGTCAGAGCTGGTAGACAGCATAGCGAATTATTGTGGTATAAAGCAGGTAAGAAAGCATTTCTTATTGTATGTTACTGTGTACCTTCCAAATGATTCTCCTTATTGTGTTCCAATACATCATTTTGGTGTTCTATCACTGCTGTTCTTATTTTTTCTGTAAATAATTGTAGCTAAAGAAGAGCCTTTAGGGCCAAGCTGAAGGACAATTTTGTTTACAAATGTATTGTTCCAAAGGAGCTGCCTTTCAGTGAGTCATAGTCATTTTATGACTCATGAAAAATGTTAAGAAACTATAATCATCGTCTATACGTTGAGCAGCTAAAAATTGTACTGCTTTTTTGCCTTTTTTTACCCTTTTATGCACGGGTACTGCCTTGTTTATCAGTATTATATTGCTGGCAATTTACCATAAGCATCAGTAGGAGAGCAAAACTTCGTTCTTCTCCTTCTGTCAGGCACAAAAGAGTGCCACATAGAGACCAAAGCAGAAAATCTGAGAAATTTTGAAAGCTCATCTTATTCTGGTGCAAGAGATTTAAATTGTTTCCTATTGTTTAATGCTGTTCACCTTTATTTAATGTGGATTGAGATCTACCAATTAGGAATTTAGTTACGATCTTTTTAGTTTGAAGAGAGACCAGATTAAGCAGAGATTTACGTGCAGAGTTCTACATTTGGTAGAACACGTATGAGATCTGGAAACCCAACACCATTATCACCCAGCAATGACTATGAATTGGCCGTTTCATACATCAGATGGCAAGTTCATCCTTGGATGGTGAAGAATTGCAGGATTCCTTTCTCAAATTTGATTGTAACTTACCCTTTTTTTTTTTTACATCTAGTTATGATTGCACTGTGCGCTAGATCACTGTTGCATTAAAACTTCATAGATGTTTACTTATGGATCTGTTGACAAAACACAAGCATGTTTGTCAACAATACTTGACTTTTTTGAGTATCGTATTTCACGTTCTATTAGACAAAAGTACACCAATACCATTTCCTCAGTTGACATACATGTAATTTTTCTGTAAGCTTTTTCAGTGTTAAACTTTCTGTTAGATTCCACATCTTAGATCTTTGTTGCAGTAAGACTAAATTTGTAAGTATCTGGGTGAACTGAGCTGGTTTAATCATTTTAATCTCTCTAATGCTAGTAACTGGCTAATGTAGCTTCATCCTGGCTTTAAACTGTAGATGACTAGTGGCTCTGGACACTGCATTTGATTCCTTTCTACATCTGAGCTGCACTTGCTTTCTGTGCAAGGAGCTGCAAGTGTAAATGGAGACTAATTTCTTCCAGCCTAATATTCATTCCCACAAAGATTTGTGGAGAACAAACTATGTTTGTTTAAAACCAAAGATTAATAAGGTACCTGCCCAGGTTTTATGCTGAACATATTCCCTCTGAGCCTTTTTTTTTCCTAAGTAAATATGTCTGAGTATAGTTTAAGATCAACGTGTCAGATGTGGGTAAGGGGGAAGAGACAGCTGCAGGTGGGCAGGCCAAGTCTGTGTTACTATGGTCTCTGGTACATCTTGTCCCCCATATTGTGCCTGGTCTTTGTAATGGGAGAGCGCTAGTTGGCCTGCTTCATACCTGCACCAGGGGGGTTGCTAAAAATTAATGGTGTGGCCAGTCGTGCGCCGAGGGTAGAGTACATGGCCATGCTCTGTTCAGTTTAGTGGTAGAGCTGTAGCTGCAGCATCCTGAGTTGCTGCTGCTGCCACCGTAGACCGAAGGGCAGGCGCCAAAACTTGGATTCAGCTCTGAGTTGCTGAAGCTGAACTTTGATTAGGAAGTTATTTGGCTCAGACTGAGTTTAATTTAGGTAATGTAAAAGATGCAGTACCCTTGATAGGTTTGGGTCAGGCCTGTGGCATCCTTGGAAACAGAGATCAAAACTCTGAATCCTGACCATCTGTTTTGTGAGGAACGACTGATGAAGGCAAAGTTTTAGGCAGTCTTCTCCTTACAACTGGGATTACCAAGTAAATAGCTGCAATTAAGGTCAAATATTACTGAATGAGGCGCAATCAATTTGTGAGCATCTATGCTTACAGCGATGGAAGGCGATCTCTCCAGCAGCTCTTTCAGGAGCCAGCCGTGGTGACAAGTGTGGGTGCCCTCAACAGCCATAAAGTGGATGCACTCTGTAAAGAACAGAAATACAGTAGCAGCAGATTTGTGAAACTAATTTCTTCTATCATTAGCATGTTTTTTGCCTTGCTTACCTTTTGCTTCAGGCAAGTATTAGTTGTTCAAGTGTTGAAGACATTCACGTACTGAAAAAGCTGTAGGAGTGTAGTTTGCTTATAGTGCAATACTAAATGTTCTCTGCGTTTGCTGGAAGGTGGTGTTTCATATAGCATTTTCATTTAGATTTTAAATAGTTCCTGTGAGATTCAGGAATGAAAGGAAAGGAAAACCCATATTCAGAGAGTAAAAAAGTAGAGCCACCTTAATGACCTAACCTAAGCCCCAATGTAGCTGGTTACTAATAAAATCTCAAACCAATCATTATTAAGTATCTGTCAATATGCTGCAATTTCATGCAGTGATTATGCACTTCTGTCAGATGGCTTGGAGTGTCTTTAGACAAAGGATTATTTTCTGTTTATTTTTTGAAAGAATTGTAACATTTAATGAAAAATATTACTGCAGTATATCACTGAATATGAAATGGTGACTGCTCTATATTAACTTTTTTCCATTTTAGTCATACACTGTAGCAAAATTTATTTGTGCAAAGTTACAAATCCCGAATATATGAAAAGAGCTTTCCAGTTACATTTAAAAAAAAAAAAGAAAAGCCTCCTTCTCATTATTAAAAAAGCGACTCCTTTTGTTTTGGTTACCTTTCAACTTAAAAAAGTATAGGAATTGTAAAGTTTTAGGAGAGTTTTTTCCTTATTGATTTTTTTCTATCCTTCTCGCAAAACAAAATATGTGCAGCATTTAATTAAACAATCGAGCTATGAAAACACAACACATGTTTTACAACAACACGTGTCCTCAGGGTGTTTCTTTCAGATATTACAGATTGCTGACGGCTTGAAAAATGCCCTCCATTTCACCTCCATACCCATGATGTATAATGGGTGGTAGAGGATATTGCTCTCTTGTGGTATTTTATAATGTAGTATAATAAATAGTAAAATGAGAATAAAAGCAGAAATTTTATTACTACTGTAATCACTTCTAGGTTAATGATTCGAATTAAACATCAAAGCAAACTAACTAAAGCGGTTTTTTTCAGTTGTTTACTGCCCCTTTTAAGCATTGTTCCTATTACACAAGTGGAACTTTATTTTATAAAGAAGTTCTTGATTAAACTCTGAAAAGAAGCCAGTGATGATGATGCTTTGTTTAAATGCACATTTGTTTTCTTTAATGTATTTGTGAAAGTTTTCCTTGGAAATTGCAGCATGTGCAGCAAGAGTTGCAATGTGTAATGTAAGTATGATATAATTCTGCATTCAGCATCCATTAAATTTGTGATTTGGTGCTGGGAAACGTTGGAATGCTTCTGGAAATGAAGTTCTTGATTGCGCCGTGCCAGAAACTGTGTTTAAACATAGTACCCAACTCACTATGGACAAGACCTTTGGAGTTCATTATATCATGGAAATTTCATTTTAAAAGTTCATGCTTGGCAGATATGCTATGGATTGCTGATTACCTTTCCTTATGTAATCAAGGGAAGGTAAAGCAGGGATTAATTTAATGCCGTCTATTTTTTAGCACAAGATCATTGCCTGCTTATTTTTAGTCAATTTTTCCTTTTGTTTTAAAACTATTCTCCCAGTGCTAATTTAACAATATATTACTGTTTTCTTTTTACTTGGGAACAACTAAAAAAACCTTACCCAAACAGCAGTTTGTCTTTACAGCCACTAGAGGTCACAAGTAGGAGTTAGGAATAATTCACTAGCTGACTCTTGTGTCCAAATGCTGCCTTTCACAGAAATAATTAAAAACCTCGTAGAAGTGGAGGTGTGCGTATTCTGCATAATAGTAATATCTGTTACATAAAATAGTGGGTAAAATTATTCCTTGAACACTTTTCTTTTCTTCACCTTTAAATAATCTAGGAGAATATTGGTGATAAACATGACAAATAAATGACATTTTCAAAAAGTATGCTTAGATTATATCAATTCTATTTCACTAACTCCACTCGTGTACTGATTTCATTCAAGAAATTTGAGGATTGTAGCATACCTAGATGGCAAATATGCAGCAGTATCACATGACGAGTGCAGATGAGAAAGCCATGTGCAGCCTGGGTAAACGATTTTTACCTAATAGTGTATATTCTTCGCTGATTTACGTAGTCTTTACTGACATTGGTTGAAATTTTTCTTCCTAATTCCATGGCTGTACAAATCTTAAACTTTCTTAGAATAAGGAATAAATCTTTCTTTTTCATTTCAGTAAGAGTATTGCTGAACTGAGTATTCTTACCTGATAAAAAAATATGCAGTTGAGTTTAAGATGGATCCATGTAGTGTATGCTGCTATTTGGACTTACAAATGTCAGCGTAAGCTTTCTTATGAACGTGTGACAGACCAAGAACAAGACATAGATATTCTTGAATTAAACACTTTCAGGAACATCTACAAAGTCATTATATCTAGTCAGTATAGTTTTTGGTGGATACCTGAACAGAAGCAAACATTATAATTTTCTTTCCTTAGAGAAATGTCACTCTGCCTATTCTTGTAAAATATTTTGTTACATATTTATTACAAATTAAAACACACATGATATAAAGCTGTGATTATGTAGTTAAAGTTCTCAGGTTACCCTTGTTTCTGCTATTACTCTTGTATAGTGTTTTCCTTCCTGCATTATATCAGTCACTGAACTAGCACATGCTATCAACTATGAGATGAACTAAACTGTCAGCTAGTTATCCCTTCTATTCACTCCTTCCTCGAGAACAGGCAGTGCGAAGCACATGTGACATACGAGCCCCTTTGTTTTATTACAAAAGCATCCTCAAGTTAATGAAAGCCGTATGGATCATTTTCACAGAATGGGAAAGTGGTATAAATAAGCATTCTAACATAAAAGGGGGTATCAATATCACCTGTCTTTAGGTCACATCTGGAGTGGTTAAGTTAGGCACTGAATCTGAAGTTGCTTATTTCTGCACACCTAGTGGTAGTAGACTCCTCAGTATGGGAGCTGGGTGCCTAAAGCTAAATACTGTGAACGCTTTCTTTGCTAACTCTGCATCCTGACCCAGTTTAGCAAGGGCAGGTGGTGGTGGTGGTGACAGTTTATGGTTATTTTCTTTAGCAGAGGGAAGTTCTGTGTCAAAAAATATACTGGAAGTCTTTCCCAGAAGAGTCAGGACATGTGCATTGCATAAGCATTGCAGTGTCTGTTTTCTGGAGCAAATCAGTTAAGACTTAATTCTGTGTTTTAAAGTCAAAAAGTGGACCAACAAAGCAAAAGAACTAAGTGTATTAGGAGGGATGATACTGATAAGGTAACTATTAAATCCATGCTTAAATTTTTTGGGAATTATTTTGCATTTGATTGAAGTGTGTCATGTTGCTCATTAATACAGCAAATTCTATTTTCTTTTTTCCCCATTACCTAGGTCATTGATATAGGTTCTGGAAAAGGCTACCTGAGTTCATTTTTGTCCATGCAATATAACTTAAAAGTTTATGGAATTGACTCCTCAAACACCAACACTAATGGTGCTCATGAAAGGAACAGAAAATTGAAGAAACACTGGAGAGCATATCAGAGTCGAGGAAGAGCAAACCTCAAAAGCCAGAGGTTGGAAGAGGCAAATGACAGGCCAGTGGAAAGTGAAATTAAATGTAAAGCAATCGGTGAAAAGCCCTTAAATAACGACAGCAGTCTTCAAAGTCAGGACCAAGTGACTATCCAGAATTTAGTTCCTTCTTGTGGTTTCACAGAAGTAGCTACATCTGAAACCAGCAAACAAACTGAAGTTGATTTGGTGACTCGGACACAATCTGATGAGAGCAAACTTTCTGAAGAGGTTCTTGCTATTCTAAATGTTCTGCCTGCTGATGCTGTAGAAGTTTCTTCTTCGTCTCAGTGTAGCTGTGGGGAACTCTGTGAAGAGGAAAGGGCGCAAAGAAAAATGGCATCTCTCAAGGCTAAAGCAAGCAAGTCGAGTGAATCAAACCTGTATTTTCCGTTGACCTCTTGCATCACTGCAGAAACAGAACTCAGTGACATCATAACAGATCTGGAGGTTATTTTACTAATATTTGAAGCAGATTGTCCATTGTCTTTATATTGCCATTTTCATATGTACATAATGTTTGCTGAGTGTACATAGAGTGCTATCAGTGGTGTAAATGAATATTCTGGCCCAATAATGTTTTTCAGCCAGTTAGCAGAAGTATGTCTAGCAGATACAGATTGTTTTTCTATTTTAATATATGTGCTGGGATTATTTTGAATATGTAAACCATCCTTTAGAATTTATGGGGTAGATAATAATCAGCTGTCAAAGTTAACAGCATACATATTAGCACATTCAGGTATTTTACAATTGTGGTGATAGATAACATTTAATTATTATGAAAAGAGTTATATTTACCAGGTAGATGGATATATTAAGCACTGGAATTTCAATTTTCCTGAAATTTCTTATTTTTTAAGTTTTATATTTTTGTAATTTCAATTAAACTTTGAAGGCATAGGAGAATTTATTTTGGCTAGTACTCAGCATAAAAAGTTTGTAAAGAGCCCTATTTGCAACTAATGTTTTTATATTTTGACTTTTCAGAGTTACTTTAAGATCATTTAGTAATTTACTAGCTGGCAGGGATTGTGTCTACACAAACAATCATAGAATCATAGAACAGTTTGGGTTGGAAGGGACCTTTAAAGGTCACCTAGTCCAACCCCCCTGCCGTGGGCAGGGACATCTTCAACTAGATCAGGTTGCTCAGAGCCCCGTCCAGCCTGACCTTGAATGTTTCCAGGGATGGGGCATCCACCACCTCTCTGGGCAACCTGTGCCGGTGCTTCACCACCCTCAGCGTAAAAAATGTCTTCCTTCTATCTAGTCTGAATCTACCTCCCTTCAGTTTAAAGCCATTCCCCCTTGTCCTGTTGCAACAGGCCCTGCTAAAAAGTTTGCCGCCATCTTTTTTATAAGCCCCCTTTAAGTACTGATAGGCTGCAATGAGGTCTTCCCAAAGCCTTCTCTTCTCCAGGCTGAACAACCCCAACTCTCTCAGCCTTTCTTCACAGGAGAGGTGTTCCATCACCCTGATCAAACAAGCCCAAGCCCAAGCTCAGCTGCCCAAAGACAGTGACACAAGTCTAGAAGCTGTGTGGCTGTTTAGTTCCTATGCCTGAGCTAATGTACATTGATTGGGTAGATAAATTCAGTCTTTTATGGAAAGATAAAAACTTGTCCGTGTTCAGTAGTAACCGAACTGTTACATTCAGGGGTGTAATTCATCTCTGATTCAAGACCATAGGTTTGTGCTGATGGCCCTATAACTTGAGCTAATAAATCCTACTGAGTATCTGAAAACGTGTGGAGCAAGCTCATGTCTGTCTGCAAAAGACACCCTGAGCAGCAGGGTTTGCTGATGAAGCATATGTCTTTAGATTTGCACAGTTGGGTTTTGTATCCTCTTAGCATGCAATTTGTATGATGTAAAAGGTAGAAGAAATCCTGTATCGCTGCCTTTCTTTAAAAAAAAAAAAATTACTGTCAGAAAAGGTAAAAGCTTCATTGTGTGAAAAAATAGTAATAATCAAATGGCACATTATGTGTGATGAATGTGTGTAATTAAAAAACTAAAATGTGCAATCATTTACATGTTTTAAAAGTATTTTGAGAATTTTTAGAAATAAAATATTTTTTAGAAATAGTTTTACAAATATTTACAATTTTTTATTGTAACCATAAATTGATTTTTTTTTCCTCAAATTTTCCTAAGCTGGGGACAAATGGAGAATGGGTAAAATTAGTATTTACTGATTTATACCGTAAGTTCTGAAATTAATCTGCTGATGAAATACAGGTATAGGAATGCATGTTTGTATATAGCCCAGGACTAATATTGAGATATCAAATTTTGCTACACTTAAGCCAACAATCCAGAAAGTACTTTCAGTTATACCCAGGCAACCTCACTGAAGTCAATGACTGTCTAAAAGTGTACCTGACGCAGACAGACTGCCCTCGTGTTGTTCAGAAGTTTTGAGCATTGTAATGTGTTTCCTCTAGCTTGCATGTGGTAGCCATCTTCCACTAGCTTTCTCCTGAAAGAATCTCTCTAACTTTTCCTGTCCTGGGGTTTAAACCCCGCCCTTGCAAGTGCACATCTCTTAGCTTCCAAACTTTAGTCTTGTTCCACTATTACCGTAATTGCACGTGGAAAAAAGCTTTGTGGAATGGTGAGCTGAAGCTGACTGATAGGAAAAAAGTCTTTAAAAACTAAGCTGGACTGAAACTGAACTTTTGCCACCTAAAAAATTTGGATCCTAAGACAAGGAGAGGGCAAGGACAGAGAAGCAGCACAAAGTGGAAGGTGAGAAGGGGGATAGGAAAGGGGAGGTTTTACTGTTTTGCACATACATATACCATATAATACAGATGGGTGAGAAAATCAGGTGTAAAGCAGCAAAAACAGATGTGCATATAAAGTCAGAATGATTATAGAAAGGTATCCCAGTTGAATGTCTCGGCTAATTTCTTGTTGATAACCTTGTTAATAAATAAGGCTGAAATTCAAAGCAACACCATGTTTACCATGTAGCTTCCAACTAACAATGCCAGAAGGGAAATATCTTGTTATGAATGGTGAGAAGAGGAACAATTTGGATGGAGAAATAGAGGGGAAAGGGGAATTGAGGAAAAAGGAAAACAAGAAATAGAATGGACAGAAGAACAGCATCTGAAGCTGAAGTTTGTTCTTTGTGCTATGGAAGAAAATGCCCGTTTGCTGTTGAGTAGTAGTAGTAGGCACACTGCAAAACTGCGGCAGTACTACAGTTTCGGAAGTAAAGCCTGCTCTTCACATTACGTCTATACTTAGGAAGTGGTTTTGATTTCAGCAGCTTAAAGTAGCAGAAATGCCATAGATAGGTCCAGCCAGATTTACAGTAGTAAATCTGAAGTAAGAAAAGGAAGTAGCAGTGGTAGTAATAACAATAACAGGAAAGCTACGAAAGACAAGAGAAAATGGCCTGTGTCCAGTCCCCACGCAGATGTTCCCTTCCATGCAGGTAAATCAGCTGTTATTCATAGTCTTGAACTTCTGCTTCCTCATGGCCGGCAAAGGTAGAGTGCAGGGATGTGTAGTTCCTTACCTGAACAAAGCAATGAGCAGTCTGTCTCTCCACAGAGGCAGTGCACGACGTTTTCTTAGCGCTGAAGAGCTTTTATTATGCATTGAAAAATTCTACAACAGAACAGCAGGAGTCCTCATGGAGTTGTGTATTTAAACTTTACAGCTCAATAACCATTTGCAGCATGTTTGGGTTTTGGAGTTTGTTGTTGTTAGTCGTGCTCTTTCAGTTGAAGAGGGAGATGCCTTATTGTTGCTTTTTTTTCCTTTTCTTCTTAGGACTGTATGATGGTGGGTCTACATACATGTGGCGATCTTGCTGCAAATACACTACGAATTTTTACTGCCAAGCCTGAAATCAAAGCAGTTTGCAGTGTAGGCTGCTGCTACCATCTGTTGTCAGAACAGTTTGAAAACCAAGAAGGTAATTCTTCCGAGCTTAACTTGTGGCTGCCAGTTTGCATGTTGGGAGTATTATACCTTTTAATTAATAACCTCCTTGTGTTTGTTCTTTTCCAGTGGCATATTTAGTATTGGTTTTAATTACATTATGTGGGTCATTCACTCCCGGATGTCCTGTAGCTTTTCTGTTACGCCAATATTCCTAATATTCTTACTGAAATTAGGGACATTAATGTGGAATGTTTTTATGTGGTTATGAATACAGCTGGTTTTATTCCATTACTTCACTTGTAAAATGTGGAGGCTTTTTTAGTCCAATATGTTTTCATCCTTTTGAAATATTTTGTACCAGATTTTGCCCTTGGCTGTCTGCATGCAACATTCATTTATGTTGAGTTATACATACACAACTATGAGCAGAATTAAGTCCTTGTAATGTAAGTTATTACTCCAAAGAACACTCATCCGAGTGCTGTGCTCTGGGGCATTGCCAGTTTAGAACATTATGGAACAGTACATATATAACAGTTTTTCTTGGGGAGACAACCTGAAAATTATTTGGGGATTCACACTGTAGGCAAATTTTCCTTCAAATGCGTTTCTTTTTCATTTTTGATAGAAAGTTGGTATCTTTACTTGAAAGATAAATCCTGCATGTTGAAAAACATTAAGTAGCTGGCTTTCCTGAGACAAGTGGTATGTAGTTGAGCTGTCTAAATGACTGTCTGCCAAAGTTGTAGAACCTGATCATCATATCAATCAAATTTGAGGGAGGAGTGGGTTGGCAAAGTTTATTTCAGCTCTTTCAGGGAACTTCACAGACAGAAAGGCAGGTGGAACCCAGCTGCTGCTCTTTAACAGTTGGCTGCTCAGGCAGCTAAGGCACAGCTCCAGACTGACCACGACACATGCTAGCTCTTGCTTGCTTTAATGATCTTTTCACCTTGTTTTTGTCTTGCTCTGCAACAGTTTTAAGAGTTTTTGCAGTGTATTAGTTTCAGTTATTTCACAATACTTCAGATCGCCCCAAAAACGAAGAAAAAGAAAACAGAATTGACATTTCTCAGTTATAGAAATGCGATTAGTAAAACACATACAATTCCTCTTACATCAGAGTTTTAAAAAATGATAAACTTTTCAGGCACTTGTCATTAAGTTTGTGTGTCTGAAACATTTGGTTGTTTCTTATTATTGCAAAGAGGACACAACTTCCTGTTCTAGCTGTAGGATTACTTTTTCCAGACTGGTGCGTAAGGCTGTACTAAATTATTGTTACTCAGACACCACCAAAGGAACAGGTGTGATAACCTAGTCAAAGTTCAAACAAACAGATGTACGTGCACGGTGGTAAGAGATGCTGCAGTTTCATAGCAGTATGGAAATGAAGCCAAATTACATGTTGGAATTTCTAGCTGTTTGATTTTTCTCAGCTTGAAGGATAAAAATTATTCTCGAAGAACTTTTAGGCAGAATAAAAGGAAATTACAGTATTCTTTTTTTGGGAAAGAACACATTAGTAACTAAACCATGTCCCTAAGCGCCTCATCTACCCGTCTTTTAAATACTTCCAGGGCTGGTGACTCAACCACTTCCCTGGGCAGCCTGTTCCAATGTTCAACCACTCTTTCAGTAAAGAAATTTTTCCTCACGTCCAACCTAAACCTCCCCTGGCGCAACTTGAGGCCATTTCCTCTCGTCCTTTCGCCAGTTACTTGGGAGAAGAGACCAACACCCACCT